ACATTTGTGGCCACAACCGTTTCCTGTCCACGGTGATGACGGAGACGAATTGGAATGATACCGAGGTCTTCCTTTTCACCATCATACAGAGCGATGCTACACAGCGTTTGGTGGATACCTCTGCGTCGGACATCCTCAAGCATCGCCCCGCTCTGGCGTCTCTGCTCAACCTCTGGGAAACGACGGTACTCTTCGATCCGAAGTACAGTGACATGCTGACGGGCCCGATGAAATATCAGTTCAATCTCAGGGCTGACGCCATCCCGCCGCCTGCTGAAGTCGCAGCCCCTACCGCTGATCCAGGAAGCACAGCGTCGGCCGTTGCTCCTACCCAGGAACAACTCATGGACGTTGCGCGCCGACTATGACGATGGCATTGGCGACGCCAGCGGTCAATATGCACTGAACCAGGAGCTTCGCCGCAGAGTGGAGACATTTCTGCGAGATCATCAAGGCACGGCCTCAGTACGCCATGCTCGTGACCAGATCGCGGCTGGGGATCTCTGATCCGATGGCTGGTAAAGGATTGGAATCTCTGACCAGCGATCTGGCCACCGATCGCGCCCACCTCGTCCCAAATCATGCCGTTCGTGATCTCGGCCGGAAGTTGAGCGCTGGTGGCAACGCTCGCAATCACATTCAGGAGCTCATTGAGAACGGTGCGGTTGACTTGCAGACAGCAAAGCGCCTTTGTTCTAGCTGCTCCCGCGACCTCCCCAATAGCGACACACGCGAAGATGACCTGTGCCACGCGTGCACTGAGTCATTTAGAAATGGGGGAACAGGTGCGTTCCAGTTCAGTTCTTGACAGACGTGTACAACTGGATCCGCGAATCAATGGGCGAGAACGTCGTTCGCCAGGTTATGCTCGCGGACGTCCAGATTCGCATCCCAGGACAGCGTTCCGACATTGCCGCCGAAAAAGATCATCTACGCAGACTGGCTCACAAAGCCGAGGTCCGACACGCCAAACGGCTGGCGGCCCGCGGACCGACCCCCGGCCAGCGTCGCATCGGTGGAGAAGAGGACGCCGACAAGAAAGGCACCGTCTTCTCTCATCCATGCGCTGATCTGGCCACCCGGCACCTGGAAGGTACGATCTTCCTCCATCAGATGACCGAGGCCAGGATTCTGAATCGCCAGCGTTCTTTCAGGTTGGAGGACATGCATGAGGGCATGCGACTGCACCATGTCAGTGCGCAGTCTGGCCATGCGGGCCGGCGGGAACAGGCCCCCGGAGCGTTGCCTCGCGGCGAACGCCTTGACCGCGGATTCGTGACTTTCTCAGCTCCCTCTGGGAGAGGACAGGGTCAAATGAATCGGGTCGCGCTGAGTGAGCTCCGCCAGCAGGTGCCCAAAGGTGCCGCGAAGGGTCTCAAGGGCGACTTCTCAGTTGCCTCTGATGAACCCATTCGCCTCGCCCCTGCTCCTCCACCTCCGCGCCGCGATGGCCCCGCCGGCGCCTATGCTCCTGGCGGCGCTGGCTGGGCTGACGTCGCTGGCTGGGCTGGTGGCGCTGGCTCCTCATCGACGTCGCGCCGCCCCCTCGCGCCGCCAAGATGGGCGCCCGACAGCGCTGAAGAGCGCGGCCGCAGCAGGAGTGCCGCGCGCGAGCGCCGCAACATCTATACCTGGTGGCGTCGTGATCTCCAGCGCTGCCAGGAAGATGCGCATCGATACTGCTCGTACTTCCTGTCCCACTGGGTTTATGTCGACGGTGACGATTGCGAATGCATCTGGTCATGGGGCAACTTCAGGGCCATCACCATCAGCTGGGTCAAAGGCTATGGACATCGTGTGTGGGATGAACGCTGCGACGAGCCGTTTTAGACATGGACATTGATTGACATCGTCTTACTGTGTATTTTGTTGTATGTTATATGACCATTGGTTTTGGAAGTATATTGACAGCGCTGTGTTTATACTTCGTATGTATATTGAGACAGCTTGGCATTTGTGTTACTTGAATACGGGTATATGGCTTTGCAGCGCGTATCGATATTGGTTTTGGTTTACACGGTGCACTCTGACAATCGGGCATAAACGCACCCGGGCAGGTCGCCCGCCAGTAATCTTGCACATGACACCAGCGTCTACTGATATCATGGGACGGCGTCCGTGCACGACCGATGCGTCGCATTTCCCCATGGCCATCATTCGTATTCACGGTGCAAAGCAGTCCAGAGTGCCTCGCGCCATGCATGACACATCCTCATATTTCAGTTGTCATTGCAACTTTCTTAATACGTTTTACACTTGGACCTGGGGCGCCCTGGCCGCGCTTTGGGCCTGGGGCGCCCCGTGAGTGAGAGCCATTTCACTTTGATCGAGTTGTCGTCGCAACTCCGATCCGCCTCACTTCGCGCGTCTGCCACGTCGGTGGCAACGCCTGCATTGGAGCATGCTGGCGCCACCTTGCTGCTCTCTTCCCTTTGCTCTCCCGTCCCTGTCACCTGCGGTGGCGGAGCGTCGCCCAGGAGCGCCGTAGCGTTCTGGGGGGGGGGTGGGGGGGGGGGGCGCCCTGGGCCCGCTAAGCCGGGTAGGCACTCCTAAGTGCCCCGTGTGGCGGGGCTTGCGCTCTCTCTGACCTGCTCTTGCCAATGCGCTCTCGTTTGGAGGGGCGGTGGAGAAAGCGGGGTTTCGAGTGGACCTCGCACCTCCGTTCCCGAATCCTGCCGTCGTCTCCCGCGGGCCCGGGGCAATCGGGAGCTGGCAGGTTTTGGGGCGGCGCGTGCGCGAGTGCGCGCGTGTGCGCGTGAAGTCCGCACAATTACGTACTATACCCATTCTTACCGCAACTGTATTGGCTCAGGTATTGGCAATACACCAACGGTGCATTGCTCTCCGCGCAGCGCCGTGTAAACAAAGGGGCTCTATTCATCGCCTCTACCTACGGATCCCGCATAGGAGCGGCCCCATCGGCTGTCTCCCTATACTCGCAGCTGGGAGCCTCTGGGTCAGCCCACTAGAGGAACGCGCTCCGCTATCTGGGGCGAAGCAGTGGGCATTTCCTGGTTTGGTGGGCCGATTGGCGGAGCGCCTTTCCGACAATGGGATCGAGGCAATTCCAATCAGTTTGCTTCAAGGCCAATTCGTGGAACGGCGCCCCGTTAACAGGTCAAAGGCGATGTCGCTTCGCGTGGTTTGAGGCCACTCAACGGATCGGCGCCTTGCAAAGTGGGGCGACGCATTTTTTGGCAGTTGGATGCTGGGCCTTGGAAAAATTCCTCAGGACCGAGGACTGTGGCTTAGGGGAATGGCACACTCTGTGCCCAGCGGCACGGTGGCGGATGACACGCGTCACCCGATAGACAAGCAATCCGCGCAATGGGAAGGGATGGGAGGGAAGGATAGAATGTCGGATATGGCGCGAGCACTCCTCGTTTGTTTTTTGTTCCTCCCTCTTCCATCCCCCATCGATGTTAAGTTACCTTCCTTGTCGCACCACCAGTCGTGTTGTTTGGGCGGACGGAGCGTGTCGCCAGAGATTTCTTCACGGACTATGTGATCTCGAAGCATGAATTTTCCAACCGTGGCACAGATGGGCACAACAGGCGTTCAACAAGCGGTTGTCGTTCTGGCGCGAGCAGGGTCGCGCCACAACACCTTTAAACAAATCAAGCAGTGGCACGAGAGGCACACATGTGTTTTTTTCGACATGTGGTTTTTGTTCTCGCGACGCGCAAGCTCGCCTTAAACTGTTAAGCCGTTTTACGGATGGAAGGGGGGTTCATTGTCTTCAGTTTTTTTGTTGTTTTGCATTTTCGTTGCCAGCGTTCGTTTCAAACAGTTCCATCAGTTACACGAAGGGGCGGGGACTGTTTTCAACATATGGCGACCACATGGTATATGTTCAAGCCATACGACCCGAATTTCAACATTGTGCAACATTTGCACGGGTGGAAGGCGGTTTTTTATTAGAGGGTCGTTTACGGATATTTGTTTGTTTGATTTGGCAATCATTTTGATTTGAGGCGCAGCCCGCACGGATGGAGGGCAGATTTTTTTCAAACGGGAGTTTTTCGTTGGACGCCATCTGGAATTTTACGATATTGTGTTTTTGTGTGTGCCGCGTGTTCGGCCAAGCTTCGTTTTCGATTGGCTCCTCCACTTGCCGACTGCGCCTGAGGCGCTTCTGCGCCGCCGGACTAAAACATGCGCGTGTGTGTTCTGTGTGCGCGCGTGTGTGTGTGTGTGTGTGTGTGTGTGTGTGTGTTTGAGAGTGTGTGTTTGTGTGTGTTTGGCAGGGGTGCCGGCTCTGGCCCAGACGGCAAGCCCGCGGTGCCTTCGTCTGTCGAGGGGGGCGTTTCCCGAAATGGAGAAAAACGCCCGTGGGGACCTGGTGGGACGGGTCCTGGGGCGAGGCCGTGTGCTGCGGCGTCGTTGATGCGCCTTGGGTTTATTATGGTCTTCCTCCGCCTTTTGCTCCTGCTCCTCCTCCTCCTCCTTCTCCGCCTGTCGTTCCTCCTTCACCTTTGCCCCTCCCCTCTAGTGGTCGCCATCCTCTTGCTTCCCCTCCTCCTCCGCCCTCCTGCTCCTCTTCCTCCGCCCTTCTCTGGCCTCTCCTTTTTCTCCTCCCCCTTTCCCTCCGCCATCCTCCGCCCTCCTCAGCGTGTTCCCGCCCTCCTTCAGTTCCCGCCAGGCTTGAAGGGGGCTTGTACGGACGTGAAGAATGTGGCAGGGCGAGTGCGAGAGTGTAGAGTACGACTGCTAGCTCTCAGCCCAGACATCCGACGTCTCGAGTCTCTCAATACGCGGTCCCCAGGGGTCAGAACCCTTTCCGTGGGGCTGGCCTCTCACTCAGAGTCGTGTTTTGACGTTCCCGGGGCCCAGCGAGGGCCCCCGGATTTTGAAAACGGAGAAACAACCTCCGCCTCTATTTTTTCGAGAAGTTGAACGTGGTCCCCCGCCCGAAAACGGAGAGGAACTTCCGCCTCTAGTTTCTCGAGATGTTGGATGTCAGGGAAGGCCTCCCTCCCCCAGAGCCGCCGGGACGAGAGGTCGCAGCCGCTCCCGCTGCGGAAGCGGCCGTCGTGGCGGCGGCGCCACCGCCTGCGCGCGCGGAGGCGGCGGCGGCCGCCGCAGAGGCGGCAGTTCCGCGGAAGGAGCAGCGGGGGTGTTCCTTCTTGCTGCTTTCGCTCCTCCGCCGCGTCATCCGCCTCCGCCTCCGCCTCCTCCTCAACCACCTCCTCCTCCTCCGCGTCCTCATCCTCCTCCGCATGCTCTTCCGCCTCCTACGCCTTTTCTTCCTCCTCCTCCTCCTCCTCCTCCGCCTTCTCCTCCTTTTCCTTCTCCTTTTTCCTCCTCCGCCCCCGCCTCTTCCTCCGCCCCCTCCGCCTCTTTCTCCTTCGCCTCCTGCTCCTCCTCCGCCTCCTCCTCTTCCTCCTCCATCTCCTTCTTTTCCTCCTCGCATTCGAACGGTACTTATTGAATGCCTGCCGTGTTGTTTGTTTCCTTTTCCCGCTGCCGTTTGGCTCGGCGGCACGGGAACCTGCAGCGCTCCCATGTCCGTGTTATTCGCGCTTTGTTTTTCCCGTGTTCGATACTGAACAAGTACCAGTTCCACCCTGATTTGTCACTTCTAGTTGGTAGTGGAGCCCCGCCTCCCTTCCACGCCGCCGCCATGGCCCGCGCGGCACTCCCTCCCCGCAACGTATCGACGACCAGCGTCCACCATTGCGCCGTATGACGCTACCACTCCAAGGGTATCAACATCAAGGTCTCCGCGTTCAACCATCCGCGCCGACATCGCGCCGGACCGTTTTCTCCGTGCTCGTGCTTTTCTGCCCGTATATTGCGGCAGGCGACGGCTCTCAGACTCTAGGGACCGTCAGGGCGTGTCCCGCCCAGCCGCCATGAGCGTTTACGGTTTATATCCTCCTCCTCCTCCTCCTCCTCCTCCTCCTCCTCCTCTCCTCCCCTCCTCCTCCTCCTCCTCCTCCTCCTCCTCCTCCTCCTCCTCCTCCTCCTCCTCCTCCTCCTCCTCCTCCTCCTCCTCCCCTCGCCATTTCGTGCCCCCCGCGCCCCCGCGCTCCACTCTCGGCACCATTTCCCGGGCTGGCCCAGGCTGTCTGCGCAGCTCGTGGGCCCAACGCCATCGGCGCATTCGCCTGTGAGTGTAACGTCCGGCGTTGGGCAGCTGCTCGACGCAGCGTTCACGTCTACTGTGTTGGTGAATGTCGGGTCGGGCGAAAGGGGGGGTTTGGGAAGGAGGGGTTACGAAATTTGCTGCATGCAGCTGGTTTCGGCCCCACCGAGGGGCCCATTCCTCGATGCATGGGCGCCTCCCGGCGCCGGGAGGCGCCAGGAAATCAGCTACGTGAGCTGATTCTCAAACCCCCCCTTTGCTATCCCCCCCTTTCGCCCGACCCGAGAATGGTCCTGGGCTCCCTGCGACTATGCTGCAGGAGCCGTGGGGGGAAGATGCAGCGGTCACGACGTTTCTACTTCATCCGCCTGTGGGTATAGCCGAGGATGTCAGACAGTAGATGGATCCAGCGTCCACCTTTACAGTGTTTTCGAAGCGCCCCGATCTCCTGATGACTATGTTGACAGAGCCAGGGGAGACGCAGGCAGGAACGGACGAGAAGGCAATGGCGGGTATGGCGACTATGTTGTCAGCATTCCAGGGGGGGCCACACAGCGTATCTGGGAATGCCTGTCTTCGACCCCGTGGAGCATGATATTCCACATTACTCGCGGACCCCCTGCTACCTGGCAAACCTGGATCCCTATCTAGACTCCCCTTGATCTGGCCTGTCTGCCTGGATCCCTATCTGGCCTCCCGTTCCCGAGCTACGCGTGCCAGTGTGATCGCGAAAGTAGCGATCACTGCGAGCGCATCATGCTCATTGATTCGGAGGTCAAACAGTTGCAGACATTAAGCATGCTGAGATTTGTGGGTGCGGAACCAAAGAATCCAGGGGGTCTTGTGGTTGCGAAAACGGTGCTTGCAATTCCTTTGGATGTGAATGGCCCGTTGCTTCCGTCTCCCGATCTTGTCGGTATCATAATGGTCTGGGACAAACCCGTGCCTTTTGATTGCGTGCTCTGGCGCGCTCGGCGGGACAAGTCGGGCAACTCGCTAGATCCAACATCGCATCACAGTCCAGTTCTCTCGGAGGTGTTGAAGATTCGCTCATCTGATACAATAGCCTTAGATGTGCTCCACACAGTGTATCTTGATTTTGCGCACAGGGTCGGATCGTTTGATGTCTCGAGGGTACTTGAAGCGAGCGTTGCCCGAAACGAGCCCTTCATCAGCAAGCGAAGATATTGGAGTGGGCATTGCACTCGTGGTGCGAACTTAAGAGCGTCCCATACGAGTCGACGTTGGGTTGGGTAGGCTCACTCTAGGCATGATTTGCGGCGGTGTCGAGGTGCGACGTGTGAGAGTGTCGCCACACGCAGGAGTTCCCATGGCAATCACAAGGGCCGAAATGGCTACACTGCTCCCGTTTTGAAAGTCTTTGGTGGGAACATATGTTTATCGCGCGCGGTTTGCTGGCCCCCCCTGAGCTCGACCGACGCGAGGCTAAAGAGGGTCGACGCGTGCAAAGCTATGAACGCCCGACCACGCATATCATAATATAGGATTGCGTTGGATGCTGCATCGCTCGTCGTGGTGCATGCGCAGGACGCAAATGTGAGGCCGACCCCCAAAAGGCATCTCTTTTGCCGCCTCGCTCACAGGACCCGCCTTTCCTCCCCACACCGATTCCCGCAACCTCGTCCCGCGCATCTGTTCGCCTCTTTAGTGGCGATCGGTGAGGGGGCAGAGGGTGTCGAGCGCTCAAGGTTGATGGGCACGCGCGGTGTGAGAAACCGGCGCCGTTGCGGCGCGCGCCTCTACGATTTTCCCCACATCCAACATGTTTTTTTGTTTTCTCTAGACACCCCGCGCAGGAACCAGAGAACACCCAGCACCTTTCTCCCTCTCTCTCTTTTTCTCTCTCTCTCTCTCTTTCTCTCTCTCTCTCTCTCTCTCTCCCGTCTCCCTTCGCACATTCACTCAATCACTCACACACGCCATGATCACTCGCAATCACCCACCCACCCATTCGCGCACAGGATCATCACCATCGTCGTCATTACCCGCACATTCATTCATCCACACACTTATCATCATCACTCATTCACTCGCCCATTCACTCACTCACCCAGTTACCCACCCAAGCGGGAGCCGCGTCATTGAGTGAATTGCGAGGAAGTCTCAGGCGGGAGTCCCTTCCTTATGTGGCCCCCAGATCATCTTGCCAATCCGAGCGGGTCATCGGAATCGTGTAAGTGTCGTCGCCTTTGGGCTCCTGAGGTTTCAATTTGGAGGAAGTCTGAGGCGGGAGCTTCATCTGTGAGTGAATTGCGTGGAAGTCTCGGGCGGGAGCTCCCTCCTTAAGGGGCCCGCAGATCATGTTATTAATCTGGGCGGGTCATCAGAGTCCTGCGTTTGTCGTCATTTTTGGGCTCGTCAGGCTTGCGTATGGAGGAAGTCTCAGGCGGGAGCCTCGTCAGTGAGTGATTTGGAGGAAGTCTCAGGCGGGAACACCGTCCCTATGGGGCCCGCAGGTCATGTTATTAATCCAAGCCGGTCATCGGCATATTGGAACTGTCGTCACTACTGCGTTCTTGAAGCTTGAATGCGGAGGAAATCTGAGGCGGGAGCTTCGTGTGTGAGTGAATTGCGTAAAAATCTCAGGCGGGTCCCTTCCCTATGGGGCCCGCAGATCATGTTATTAATCCGAGCTGGTCATCGGAATATGGTAACCCTCGTCACTTCTGGGTTCTTGAAGCCTGAATGTGGAGGAAGTCTGCGGCGGGATTTTCGTCTGTGAGTAAATTGCGTGGAAGTCTCAGGCGGGAGCGCCCTCCCTATGGGGCCCGCAGATCACGTTATTAATCCGAGCTGGTCGTCGAAACCTTGTAACAGTCGTCATTTTGGGGTTCGTCGATCTTGAGTGTGGAGAAAGTCTCCGGCGGGAACCTCGTTTGTGAATGAATCGCGACGAAGTCTCGAACGGTAGCCCCCTCCCTATGGGTCCCGCAGCTCATGCGAATAATCCGAGCGTGCCATCGGAATCTTGTAACTGTCGTCACTATTGGCTTTTTCAAATTCGAATCAGGCGGAAGCTTCAGGCGGTTGTCCCGACGGCTTGGCCAGCGGGGTTGTCCCGACGGTTGCGCGATGTGGCCATTGGAGAATGCGCCCGTGCTGCCCGAGGCGGCGACGGCACCGAGGAAAACCTACGCGCGCGCGCTCTTGCCAGGAGGAAGGAAAAGTACACTCGGAGAACAGGCGGGGCGGATATGAGGACGGGGAAAAAGGAAAGGAAGTGAAGGAGGAGGAATAAAAGGACGACGAGGGAAAACATACGTTGAGGAGGGGGGGATAGGAGGAGGCGGAGGACGAGGAGGGGAAACAAAGGAGGAGGCGGAAGAGCAACATGATAAGAAATGAAACAAGTAGGACGATAATGAACAGGAGGAGGGGGAGGATGAGGAGGAGGAGGAGGAGAAGGAGGACGCAGAGGGCGGAAGGAAGGCCTCCGCCACTGGAAGAAGATAAACGGGGAGGGGCAAGCTGAATATCCTATGCGGGGTCCTACCGTCGGAGTAGTTGGGGGTTACTTCGCCATCACCGCGCCGCGTCTGGAACCGATCGCCGTCCCCCTTCCTGGAGTGGCACTGGTAAAGTAGTTTTAGTCGTAACAGGACTAGTCGTAGTGCGAGTAGAAGTATAAAAGGTCGTAGTAGTCGGAACGTTGCCGGGCTCAGCGCGCAGCGCTTCGTCCACACTACATGGCTAAAACACATTGGTCAGTAATTGCACAATGATTCGTCCATCGCGCAGCCCACAGAGCATAGTATATCACATCGCGCCAATACGCGGTGCATTATATTCGATTGAAGCACGCATTCCCAAACTTCCAGTGCATGGTAGTTGTGTCGGGGTGGTGGTGGGCATCTTGTCGTAATTATTATTAGTGGCCGTCGTCGTAGTGGTAATGGTAGTAGTAGTCGTAATAACGGTGGTACTAGTAGTGGTGGTAGTAGTGGTGGTAATATTTGTAGTAGTAGTAGTAGTAGTAGTAGTAGTCGTCGTAGTCGT